GAAAGTGGAGAGATAACCATCGTTTCTGTTTGTGTTCTATAAAATGACTATTTTTGTAGCTAAAATTTTAGTTGTTGGATTTCAATCCCACAGTGTTGCTTTGTGGATATAAATTTACCCGGGTCCGCTATTTCAAACAGTATGTGTATAACAAGTCCAGTATAAAACTAAACCAATAAAATGCACTCTTCTGCAATTTGTTACTGAAAATATCGCAAATTATTTTGGTCCAAGAATTCAAAACAAAATAGAGAAAATACATTTAACTAAGTTTTTATTCCTTGATGCTGCTTCTTATTTTTTGAAAAGGTGCTTGCAGTTTTGCACAAAAGAAATCAACTTTATTAATTGCTGGGTTTGAAGCACTTTAGGATTCTTCTAAATACAACCAGTATATGGTGTAAAAAGGAATGACATAAAATGTTTAATATGTTTAAATTTTGGTTGCAATCTTTGTTATTCTGATAGATTTGATCAGCCTGTTCCTTTAAATACAAACCTGTTTTCAGAGATTTTAAATTAGAATTTTTTTTTAATGGGCTGAAATTTAACACTTAGAAAGAGATCATTTGAGAAACATCTTGTACTCAAATGCCTGTAGGGTGACTTGAATAGCAATGTGACTACCTAGCCATCTATTATATAAAGATCCAGCGATGTTTGTTCCTATAGCAAGGTCAGCTAGCTATGAGCACTAGGATTCTTTTTCTTAAACAAAAAACTTTTTTTTAAGTTTTGGCTATGCATCATAAGGTAGTTGTATATGCTGTGGCAAGGCCAGAACATCTGCTTATTGGGAGTCCTCTGCAATAGATGCTCTATGAATACCACAGGAAGACAGTGTCCCTGCTCTAAAATATTAGTCTGAAACCCTGATACTTTCTAGGGTGTACTTAAGCAAGTACACATGTATTTGTTTCCCAGGCTAGGTCTGTAGTTCAGCACACCATAGTTTCTTAGGATAACAAAAGCAGAGGAGAAAGTAATAGGGTAAGAACAACATTTTATGTTCACTACCTGCAACAGTAGTCATTTTTGTTACTGATAACAAAGCTAATTTAATACCCGTGAGCATATGCTATTGTATTGTCTTCTAATGGGGAAAAACTTTTTTGAGAAACCAAGTGTGTCACTAGCTTTTCTATGAATTCAGATGCTTAAATTGGTGCTAATTTTTTAAAAGAAAATGTAACAGATGGTTAGCAGTGTATTTGTCTGTTTTTGATACCTATATTTTCTTAAATGGTGGCAAGCCAAACTTTATAAAATTACTAATGTGCATTTTCAGCTTCATCAGATTCCCAGATTTTCCTGAAGTTAAAATGTTTAAACTTTCATGGTAGTTACAGCTTCTTTGGAGCTATTGCTTTCAGGTGTCTTATACACTAATAAAATGAACACAGTTAGGAAAGATAGCAATACATAACTATCCTTTTCTTTAAATTACATGACATGTTGGGTTCCCCAGGTGGTTTTAGCAGTTTAGTGTAATCAAGATACCTAATTAAGAGAAACCACAGATAACCTGTGTGCAGTTAACTCAGTACAGTGAAGCCTTACCAGGTCATTAAGGTAATTTATAAAGATTATACCAATTTTCTTCTATTTTAAAGAGGGAATAACAAATAGAAATAACTGTTTTCGTACAAATTCAAATGTTAATTCCAGAGAATATATTCTATAGTGTACTCCAGAACACATGCTATTAAGGAGTATAATAGGCTCCTTGAGTGATTTGTTATGAAATCCAGTTTTATCTAATGACTCAAAATAAACCCCCTCCAAAAATTAGTTCTTTGAGAGTTTCTTTTGAAATGCCTTTAGGTTTTAACTCCCTTCAGAATGCTTTGTATGTCTTGTTTTGGCCCTCTTTCCCACCTTCTGTTTACCAAATGTCACAAAAAGTAGCATCAAGCCCTATCACTTGTTACAGTGTTCTGATTTTATGGCCTTAATATTAGTTATAGTATGGTATATAATTTCAGAAGGAAGATGTGCTTTGAAGTCTAATTACACATATATGTGGCCTCTTCTGCCTATGAAATTAGGCTTTGATTGTCATATCTCATTTTTGATGCTTGTGCAATAGGAACATGTTCCTTTCAGTGCAGTGGCTATTTTGTCTGATGCTGGACTTTGTTTTCAGGATGACTAGAAAGTTTTCTGGGTTTTGTTGTTTTGTTTTGGTTTTGGTTTTTTTTTATGGACAGTAGTCATGCTTCCTTGTTTTTTGGATTGATTTTCTTTAAGGAAACTAGAATTTCATAAGGAAAACTGTCAATAATTATTTCTGAAGTTCTAGTTAAAGCCTTGTTCTGAAGCTTTGGGGGTTTTTTCCTCCAAAAACCTTATCGTAAAACAGTACTAAAGCCACTGTAAAATTACAAATAAATATGTATACTTAAGCGATTTGAGCAGTTTGTCTTATTTACTGTAGCAGTGTTTTCTTTTTCTTGATTCTTCCTGTGTTGAAGTAGAATGTTTTGTGTAACCGAAATGATGTATGCTCTTAGTTATCATAAAACATAAAGTTTCAGTTATCGCTTTAGCTTCCAGTTAACCAAAAAAGTAAGTGTTGGTATGAAAAATGAATGAAGAACAGCTTTAAGAGATTGGTTGGAGCTGCTTTCTCCTGCTCAGCTGGAACATTTGGGCACATTAACAGCACTTGGTTTTACTGCCGAGTGTATTTTGGTTTTTTGTTTTTCTAAAATTGCAGAAGCTTGCCTGGTAGTACTGACAGATCTGTATTTCCATCCATGTGCTTAAACAGTATCATAATCAGATTGTCAGACTTACTTGCAAGTTTCAGATAAGCTACTGGCTATATACGTGTATGTGTATATATATGTACATACATAAAAGGACTTTGGAAGAATTTTCTCTTCACCTTGTACCCAAACAGTGTTGTGTTTCATTTTGTTCTTACTGAACAAGACAGAGGTACAGCTAGCTTGAAAAAATAGTTCCTTTGTACTTATTTTGAGGAAGAGGTAAGTATTCTTGCAAAGAGAGTGATGAGGTTTCCAGGCACTTTGCAAAGCTGTCTGCTCTAACTCTGGGGAAGATGAAATAAAACTTAACTGCTACTTTATCTAGTTACTTTTCATGGAGGTTTTCTAATATTAGATGAAGGATTGACATAGCTGCCTTTCTAGATACATGGCTAGGGCTCTCAGCCACACTTTGGCACTGTAAAAGCTTCACCTATGACAGTCTGAAATAATTTTTACAGCAACATTGCTATTTCTTGTGTGGAGAACTTGAAGTTTTATCCCTTCTCTACAGGGCATTGTAACAGAGTATCTGGATAAAGCAGGGGTGCCCAGCAGATCCCAGAGCTCCCCTGTATTTGATGATAGAATGTTTTTCAGGTTGCCTCTTCAGCTACAGAGGAAGATCAAATTCATTAAATAGAGAACAAAAAACCCCAATGAAGCAGGACGATGATGTGCGTGCAGTACATTCCTTGCCTTACGCCATACCTTTTCTTTATATCTCCTGCAAGTTCTTGAAGTTGGCAGGATAGTTCTAGATAGGTAAGGAGGGAGGGGAACTGATTAAACAAGACCCAAATAATTTTTGAGGAAAGTGGGACTTCAGAAGTTGTTTTTTTCATAGTAATGAGGTCTTAGAAGATGGGGGGGGGGGGTGTGTGCATTAATTCAAATTAAAAAAACTGCTCAGTTCATGATTACTTGGTGTGAAGGTAAGGTGGCAAAGAAACAAGTTACCATTCAACGATGCGCTTGTGGAGAGCAGGCAATGTATGGCAGGGGTTGGCCAGCGTGCACTTAGGAATAAAAGGGCCTGCAGCATTGCCCTGGGCATGGAATAGGGCAGGTTTGCTTCACTCCATGAGCCTTGTGGGATAAGACTCTGGGTTTTGATTCACTCGTATTTGATCTTAAAAGAAGCTGCTTGCTCGTCTCCAGGGAAGAAGAAAAACATCTGTGCAGTTTCTGCTTACACATCGTAAGCTGTTTTAGTGAGATACTGAGTTATCAAGTAGATGGGGACTCTTACATTTAGTCTGGCTGAAAAGCAAATAATGAAACACATGTTTTTCTCATATAAAGTATAATTTTAAATTCGGTACAGGTTTAAGTATACAGATGCCATTGTTCATGTTAAAATTCTGCAGTGGGTTAAAAGAACAGGTTATTTTCTTGATATTTAATTGTATATGTGTCATTAATGCTGGTATCAAAACAGTTAACACATTTCTCATGTGGAGAGAAGTAGCTCTGATGAGATGTGAGGGAGTCTACCAGTGACTGTCTTAAGAATAATGTGTTCATATTGGAGTCCTGTACGGGGGCTAATTATAATCCAGAGGAGCAGATGGCTTTGGAAGAGACCTCTTCCTTCTCCATGAAGGGATATGCATTCAGTAAGAGGACAGGAACTGCACAACGGCTCTGGATCCCAGGCACAGGGCTATGTGAGAGTGCTGGTGGGAACTATAGGGAGGTACAAGTGTGTTGCCTCATTTTTTTTCTCTGTCTATGTGTTTACCTGAAACAGCTGACTTTGGGATGCAGGTATGAGCTCAGCACTCTAAAGACCATGCAATAATATCTATGTGACTTCTGGGGTGGCTGGTAAAACGCACTCCAGCAAGCATGGCATCCCTTCAGTAAAAACACTTGGCCACTTAAGCATTTAGTGCATCAGTACAAGGCTCAAGGCTAGCCAAAAAACACCAGGGTGCTTCCCCAGCACACTGCATAGGCTGGCTTGGGAGTTGGTAGTGCAATGTGTCTGAAAGATTTTTCCAGTGGTAAGAGAAAGCATCCCTGGCATAGCAGGGTGGTGCAGAGCTCCTGGAGTTCAGGGATCCCAAAGTGTTTGTAGCAACCGCTCACTTTTGTAATTGACAGCCTAGTTTTTACTGTTGGGTTTCGTATTTCACCTCTGAAATGGGAGTATGTGCTGAAATCAGGATGTGGCCTTTCTCTCTCCTACAGTTTAGCTCAATTTGAAACTGAACAAGCTGTTTATTTCCATCTGTTAATTTCCCCAAAGGTTTCAAAAAACTCTTCCATTTCTTTTTGGAGCATTTCATTTCTTCTCTCTGCATCTTCCTTTGCTCTCTCTGCATTTCGCATTTTCATCTCCACGAGATTGTACCGCTTACGCTGCTGTCCCAGTTTTGAATGCATACCCTTAATCTCTGACTGCAGCTCTCTGTTCCGCTGCTCCAGGCTGTTGGAAAGACAGGCATCGTAAATTACAGGATTATTTTTTTTCCCATTTCTTAATGACGCTATAGGCTTTTTAAAAGCTTTTAACATTACGTTCCCATAAATACAAGTATTGTCATCCCCAATACTTTTCCAATTTATGGTGTTACATATTAAAATAAAAGCTGCAATTTTTAGTTATCCCAATTTGCAATAAATATAAATAACCATATAGCCAAAGGAGTCAGCTTTGGGGTTGGTTTTTTTTTTTTGTAGTGGAATACTACAGTAGTCTTAACAACAAATGGCAATGCAACATATTTTAGGAAACGCTGAGGATTCTGCTTATATTGCAGTTCCCTTGAACTGCAAAAGAAAACATAAGCAGAATACAGCAAAGAGATTTAGAAAAAAAATCTACAAACCTAGGAATAGCTTCTTTTACTAAGAAGAAATTGATGAATACTTCAAGAAATTAAATGGATCTTCTTTTTCTTTACGCAATGTTCAAGGCAAAGTGTAATTCAACATTACCCACTTGCCATCTGTTGCAATGATGCATGTTGAGGTATTTTATGATTTAATCAAGTAGTTAATTTGCACAATATACCTGTAACTTACAACTAATGAACAATATTGTATTTAAAATGTTCATTCCTTTAAACTACACAATAGAAAAGCAGTACTATTTGGAAAGCAGAGCCTGGAAATGTTTTTGCTTTTTTTTCTTAGCTATGGCTAAATCTCTATTAAATTTCTAATCTGAGAAATTGGGAAAATACTTATGAACACTTTCATCCGAGTTGTTAAAATTCATGACTTGCAATTTGTAAAGAATAATGACTTACTGCTAATGCTGCCGAGAAGCCTGCACGTTTTTCCCTAGAGAAAAGCTTAATATTGGATTAAGGCAAAAAAAGAAAAATACACAATAGACCAGAGGCTTTTCAAGAGCTCTGCGCAACCCTGCAAAAAGTCTTAGAGATGCTCTGGAGTTTCTCAAGGACCCACATGAAAATGAATTCGAATAACTCTGAATAATTGCTAACCTAATCCTGTAATGCTGGATCCTGGGTGACATTCAGGAGGCATGTGGAGGCATTGACTGCAGCAGCTTCCATAGACCTTACTCACAGATACGGGTCCTGCAGTAGTTGTATACGGTAGGAAGAGATGTATTCCCTGAAGCCTCATAGTTTTCAAAATCTGTTACCTTGCAATTTTAGATTCGTACTCGGCCTTCTGTCTGGACATCAGCATCTTCAGATTTGCCAGGTGGTGCTGCGGGGAGGTTGGGTTTGCTGGCAAGTCGCCGGAGGAAGCAAAGCTGTCACTGTTGTCCACTGGGACGTGTCCGGTGGTTTCCTGATCCCGCAAAACATGACTTACAGCTGTGTTGGTTTCTTGGGAGTCTTCTGGGTGGGCAAGTCTTGTCAAATATCTTGAAGGAGGATTTTCCTCAAACATCGTTTAGCAGCGGGAGCCTGCTGAGCGTGCCTCGCCAGCACCACCCGTGCCCTCCGGGTGTTGTTGAAGACTCAATGCCTTTTCTGTTTTAGAGGAGACCTTGTTTTCGCGTCTGTCTCGCTCTGCCTTGTCACAGGCTGTGAGAATTTTCTTCCTCCCCACAGCTGTTTGAAGCTTTTCAAATACTTGGAAATAGTCCATTTTATTGGAGCCTGGATCTTATTTCAGGCTCCAGCTTTGCTTTTTGTACGCAGCGGGTTGAGATCTTGAGCTGCTGTGCCTGTCTGTTGCCTGCTCGCCTTTATCGTCATGGTTGGCTTATTCTCATCTCCAGGAACAACTACTGCTTTCCTACCCTTGGTCTGTTTGGTGTAGTTTGTCTGACATCTGTAGGTGGCCCATTTGACAGCTGTGCACCCTTGACTAGTTTCATTCCTGGGCTGGGAAGGTGAATTCTGCAGCACTAGCCTGGTCCTGGGGCTGCACAGTGGGAGCAGGGTGCCTGCTTTGCTTGTGCTCCCTGTCGCAGGCATTAGAAAAGAAACGTGTTATATCTGTTTTGGCTGCACTATATCTAGTCGGTCAGGCGTGAGGAAAATTGCATGCATGTAGAATGGCTGGCTGTGCTGCCTCATTTCTGGTGTATCTGCTGTGTCTGCTTCGGAGAGAGCAAACGGTAGTGGTGCAAGCGAGGGAGGCTGGTTCCTCTGGTCACGATGTTTCAAGGACGAGAAGCCAGAGGTTAAGGAAAAATAGGCCACTTGTCAGTTACATTTCAATTCCTCTTGGAAGAACTATTTGATGTGAGTAAATATGGAGTGTTTATTTTAGCTGCCTGTTCTCACAAGAGAATCGAGCATAGTACAGAAATAACTTGATGATAAAAATGAAGAGCAAAATATGCATGCAGTTTAAATGCATATCTCAAAAATAATGGAGGTGGTTTAAAATCATCTGGAAAGTTGTTTCTTTTCCCTGCCCCCCACCTGTTCAGTCTCTTGGTACAAGAAGTGAAAATGAGCTGGTTTAAGTGAGGTTGGATTTCTTTAAGTGTTTTACTGGTCTCCTATGTGAAAACCACTCCTGGTTTTCACTCTGCACACCTGACAAGGCTGTGATGTGTTCCTTGTCAAGTCGGGGCTGGGAGGTTATTGAGACACTTTCCCACTTTAACCTGCACTCCCTTCAGTAGGCAGAGTCCTTAGAAATGAGCAGGCGAGTAGGTGAATATTTTAGGAATCTAAAGAAGGCCTGGGGTGAGGATTATATAACAAAAAGCACATGAGACTTTAGCCTTCTGAGGGTGAGATGCTGCACTGGAGGAAGGTGGGGAGAAATCCACTAATGTGATTTCACAGAAGTAAAATAATAAACTGATGTAAACACCACCATCAGCACCCCTTTCTCCCCCCAAAACACTGGAGTTGCTGCTAACCTAAACTTTTCCTCCAGAAAAAAAGATATTCCTGGAGTATTAATGCCAGTGCTTTACATGAGTTCTGTGTCTATTAATAATCTAACAGATGGCTGTAGTTTCTGATGAATCGGATTCGGTTTCATTGATTAATCTGTTTTCTCTCCACCCCTAAGGAGAGAGGCAGCAGCTGGTGCCGACCTGCAGCTGCCATTGCACAACTGGGAGCGTCTCTGACCCCAATTCCTGCAGGCACCTCTGCTCAAAATGATTTGGGCATTGCTGCCCGTTGGGAGGCTGGTAGGGAGCAAGTCTGTCACCTCTGCTAAGTCAGGATGGAGAAGCAGGACAGCCGAGGGGTCTCCGTTTGAGAGTGGACGGACTGGGAGGAGTCTGACCTTCGTGGTCCCCTTTGGGGTTACAGTGCTGTAACAACTCCACGTGGGTGAAATCAAGCGGGATATAGAAAATTTGGAGAGCTGTGCTTAAGGCGTGTCACCGCTGGGCATGGTCACCAAGCCAATGTATTACTGGAACTGGTCTGAGTGTCTCATGTGGGAGGCCCTTTGGAGGCAGCAGGTTTTCAGGACATGGGGCAGGGAACAAGCAGCCCTTAGTCCCGTGCCTCTAACGCCAGAGCTGTGTGTTGGCACTGAGACAGCAAACCAGTTCTTTCTCTTGACGCTTGACTGCTCACAGAAAGTGTAAAACCACCACTCAGATGTGGAGCCAACTGTGTGATAAGGTGACTGGGGAAAAGCACGTGAAGATGTAGTATGTTGTGCTCTGCTTCGCCTTCCTTACGTGGCTTAGCACTGACTTGGGCACTTTGTTAGCTCGTACTCCTCTGGGAGAGCTCTCTTTATTTTTGGATTTTGCTAATTACTCACCTTGACATTATCTTGGAGCTGATGCGCAAAGAGAAAACGATGATAGATGGAAGGAGTCCCCTTCCCAGCTGCCCCTCACACACACTTACTTCTAGTGCTGATGTGGCTTCAGAGCAACGTGAAGCACGTCAGCACTGATGCTGTAATGAACAGGGCGGCCAAGAAGGATGCGGCTTCTCCGTTTTCTCCTGCAGGTCAGTGCTGGCAGTGGGACTTTATAGCAGGAAATGCAGGAAGAAAAATACTTACACCCTGGGTTAGAAGCTGACAGCTTCTCTGTGACAAGTTATTAATGCATGAGCTGGGCTGGCAGCGTCCGAGGGGAAAGAGGAAGAGTGAATAAAAAATTGCACTGAAGGTTGCTGCACGGGGGCCAGCTTCAAGCATGGGATGAAGGTGAGGGAGCAATGCAGAGCGTCCTGCCACAAAAAACAGTTCATTCGGGCAGCAGACTGTCTTCTGTGTGTCCTGCAGTTGGGTTACATACCCAGGGTACAGAAGGGTTTGTGCATCTCGGATGGCTTTCTGTGGCGTATGCCGGTACTGACCACTGATTTCTCGGAAATAATATTGCTGAGATTCTTAGACAGTCCCATAACGCCTTTTTTTATAGGGTGGCTGCCGAGCTCCAGGATAGGAACTCCGAGTGCATCAGAGCAGCGTGAACAGGGTATGATGGCTGGAATCTCATCTACTCTGTGCTTCCTCTCCTGATTAGAACCTTGATCAGGCACAGCATCATACAGTGTTGATCCCCCCAATCCCTCTGGATTTACATTTATTCATATGCCATGTTCTCCTTTCACCTTCCCCATGGCTTCTCAGGGAAGATTGCTTGTATTAGTTTCCTGACAATTTAAAGGTCAGTGATGAAGAGAGCTGTGTATTTGTTTGCCCCGAGGCAGAGGAAGAGCTCTGTTCCAGACTCTCAGCTTGCAGGGAGCTGGGATGTTTTGAAAAATTGTTTCTTATTTTGGACCGACTTGGGATGGAGTTTGTGCTTCTCTGCGATGACCTCTCCCTGGAGCATAGAGATACTGCCATGTGTGGTTAAAATTTAACATGCTTGAAATAGTTCCTCCAGGCGAGCTGTGGGATTCAGCCTCCCTCAGTTCTGGTCCTGTGCCAGCTGCCTGTTTCCCTGCATCGCCTCTGAGCTCTAGAAGGGAGACCAGAGTACGCTCGCTTCGCCTTTTGTAGGGTATCGTTTGCACTGCGGACAGATGAGATGCAACTGTTCCAAGAAGGATGCCGAATTGCCCGGAGATGTGCGTGTCTGAGGTTACTGCCTAGATAAAAGCTCGTGATTTCCTTCACACAAGAGCTGATGATAATTGGACTCTGGTTTTGTAAGCCAGGTTTATCAGCACTTTCTTCTCTTCATCCTGGTGGTAGAGACGAGCTCAGTTAACAGCAAGGGAGAAACCAGAGTCATCTGCGTGCAGCTTGCGGGGCATCTCCTTATGGCAGCCTCAGCTGTTTTGGTGTGTTAAAATGGCTCTGTGTAGTGCGTGTGGGCAGCCAAAATGCACTACCAGGTGTCTACCGGAACAGTTGGACGAGGTAACACCTAAAAATGGCACTGTGCTCCTGAGTCACCCTGCTCTTGACGAGCTCCTTGTGCAGTTGGGCTGGAGAAGGTGTCCTGATGTGGGGAAACACCGTTGGGAGGCTGCTGCCCTCTTCAGCGGGATGCAGTCAGAGCTGTGGCTGTGATGGGGCTGAAGTTTAATAATTTCAGACATTTTCTGGGAAAATATTTTAATTCTGTTTGCTAACAATGATACACTCTCCCTGAAGTGTCTCTGCTAAACTTGATATATTTTATAGTTACTTTGGAGTGTGGTTAGACCCATACATTTGTATCAGTTGTTTGCTTGCACACATTTATTCAGACAGAACTTCCACATCTTCTTTGTGTTGTAATGAAAGAAACAGTTCTCATGGACTGACCTTTTACAGAATGATATGTCTTGAGCTATGTTTGGAAACCAGAACCCGATAAAAATGCATGAACTGATTTTTGTGTTAAATGAAACTACCTGTAGTCAACATGTTTCGCATCTAAAATTTACTTCAGTGCTATCTTGGTTTGCCATTAATGAATTGAAAGGTTTGTACTTGCTGTTTTTTCCAGCCTGAAGTTCCATGATGTTAGAATGGTGAATCCCAGTCTCATCTCTAATTTTATTTTTAATTCATCTGCAAGAAGAAAACAAGTTTCCTGTGCTTTTTTTTTTTTTCCAAAATCCCATTTGGGCTTTTTAACTCTGAACTATTTACTGCACTGAATATGTGGAATAAATGGAAACAAAGAACATGTTTTCTCTGCACCTGCAGAAGGAGGCCCAGGACAAATTATTCTTGGCTGGGACAGACTCAGGTTCCAGGTGCTTGCTGACTTCAGGAGGTGGAGTGCTTTAAACTTTTGGCAGCAGTCCTGTATTGTTTGATAGCAGGTTTTTTTGCAGAGAGAAATAGAAACAAAATAATAAAAAGCAAACATTCATAACTTGCTTTTGACAGCTAATTGAATTTTTGATCTTTATTTGCCTTTTTATGACACTTTTTCTTACACAAAAGCGTTGCTACATCCCAGTACAGAAGGAAGAGGCGCACACGGCTTGGTGCCATAAGAACCTGAGCGTTTCAAGCTTTGGGGCTTGTCAGGAATATTGTATGTTGCCCCATCTGCGTAACCTAATGTTTTTGTGCATAACTACAGAGGTCTGCAGCTAGATAGCATCACAGAAAAAAAAAAGGGCACTTGCCTTTGGGCGGCTGGAAGCTGCTTGAAAAATAGAGCTGGAGTCTCTCTACTGCGACCCCAGCAAAGAGCTGGGAGCATTTTTTTAGGGTTCTTGGGGTTTTTTTTGGTGTTGGTTTGTTTTTTGTTTTTTGTTTTTTTCCCATCAGGGCTGCAGCTGACTGCGGTATCACCCTCTTCATCGCCAGAGCCAGGTTATG